TATAAGACAAGCCCCAAGAATTAGATTCAGTATATGGAAAAAGTATAAATTATAAGTTTCCAGGTATAGAATCTAATTCTTGGAGGTTTGCCGTGAATTTGTCCCCCTCCCACTGCTACATCAGGGAAAATAAATCAGGGAAAGTTAGGGGTCCCCTTTGCCCTCTGCCCCCACCCCCAACTTCTTCCCCTTGCAGTATCCCCACCCCCTTTACTATCAGACCCTGATTCCTTGAGCACAAAGAAGAAAAGGGCAAATTTAGAAACACTGGCTTTGAAATAAACATGCCTGTAGTTATCGGTATATAGGGAAATTATTATGGGTGCCCATAGACAGTTCATCCAGAATTGATGGATTTAATCTTGTTTGAAACTGTTGCAAGTCTTAGCATAGGTACTCCACAAACACACTTTCAAGCATCACTTTTTGTACTTACTTATAGTACAAGTCATTTTTTTTTTAAGGAAAATTTTTCATGTTCCAAGCCAAATAAATAAGCCAAATCAATTCCAAATCCATGGGTCATTCAAGAACCATATTTGGCCCTCCTGCCGGCAAACATCCTTCCTGCCTGGGGCTTCAGCTATTTCCCAGTCGTTTGGTGGGCATCCTATGTGCAGGCCGAAGCCCAGAGGCTTGGGGTTCAGATGCCCCCGACTTTTGCTTGCCGTCAGCCATATGGCCGCAGGAGCAAGCAAAGGAAGAGTCTCCCAGTTCCACCAAGTGGGCGTAAAGCCAAGATCTTCCCACTGGAAATGAAAGTGGGAGGTTAGCTAGACATTACCTCTGCCCAGGTACTACTCTATGCCAGAAAAGCAGCTATCCCCTGTCCCTAGGAAAATCACCTTAGTGGTCATGGTATTTCCCCTGGGAAAACCACCACCACATTGGTGATCATAGTATTTCTCCTGCTAGGTAAGTATAGTACAAATGATGCATATTATTAATCCAAAACCAAAAGGTTTATAATTTCCATATAGTTCATTGGGTTGGGACCCAGCAGAGCCAAACAGCATTTCAAGCCATGGTGGAACCACAGCTTAGCACTGCTCAGTATGTGTGTGTACTCCAAGTACCCCCCACAAAGGATGCACGTGCTAATTAGCCCCCACTCCCCAACTTATCATGAGTCCTGGGATCCTCCAAAAATGTATATGCAGATGAGGCACAGGGTCGACTGGTCCAGCTCTGCCTCCTTGAGTGCAGGGCCACATTAATCATATGCACCAGGCTGAGAGAGGAGGCAACAGAGGGTTTCTGGGTGAACTGTTTAGGGCCCTGTTTGGTGATGTTTGCTGGACATTTAGGGCCACGGATCATTGGAAATGGAAAAGAAAGGCACAGGCACAGTTCAGCTGTGGGAATGAAGAAGCCAAAGCATATTCAGTGTAGTGATTTGAAAAAGAGTCAATGCTGAGGCAGACTGTGTTCAGTGGGACACTACCATATATCTAATTGAGATTGGTTGGTGCACTAATTGTATGGGAGGTTCCCATCAACATGTTCCCCCAATGTGTTGTGGTTACAGCTGACTGAAAGGCAGTCTGGCTGAATGGATCTGACACATGTATTTCATCTACTCTTCACCTATTCCTTCCCTACTCTTTCCCGGTCAACAGGAGGTGATCTGTTTCAACGCCAAGCTGAAAATCCTGGAGCATCGCCAGCAGAGAATCGCTGAGGTTAAGGCCAAGTATGAGTGGTTAATGAGGGAACTGGAGGTGACCAAACAGTACCTGATGCTGGATCCTAATAAATGGCTCAGTGAATGTAAGGACCTTGTTTTATTGCCTGTACTCATAAGCATCCTTTGGTTTATTTTACTGAGGGTGGGATAAGAAGATTTTGTGATGCGGCAGCTAGGATGTGACCCAATATGGTTATAAACTCAATTGAACTGACGTGTGACCAAGGAGTCCAGGTTTAGATTGACAGTATTTCTACAGCTCTTTTCATATAATTCCTATTAAACATTGCCAGTAGAATTGAACAGTCCTTTGCCTGACAGCCAAATACTGGAATGGCACAGCATTATAATGGTGGATATTGCCACGGCTAGATTAACACTCGTGCGTTTCAGTCCACAGCTTCTGAAAATGAGATTTTTTTTTTTTTTGGCTTCAGATCACTCAGACATATATGCTGTATTATAAATCCTCTCACCTGCTGCAGAATAACACTATGAAGTCAATTTGGTCCCTTAGTTCCAATGGAGTTACACCAGGGATGATTTTGATCCTTTATAGCCAGAAACAAGTAAAGTACATCGAGTTTTATCTTAATGGGAATTCACAGTCAAACCAGAAATAATGTCAAAAATAAAAATCCAGAAAGATGATAAAAACTACAAGGGTTATGCAAGAATCAGTAATATTGGCAAACTGAGGGGTGAGAATCAGAGATGGAAGGGTATGTTAAACATCCAATTCTATTTTATTTAGGAAAATTACTACTTATAACTGTTATAAGCCAATGCGTGTTTTGTTAGTGATTGCCCTTTATGTCGCAATTTTTTTCTTTGATAATTGCACCAGCAGAGTGTTGTGAAAGCTGTTGGAATGTCATCTAGTTATCAAGAGCAAAAAAAATTATAAAGGCAACTGCCGAATATTTACATATACCAGCATTCACTTGCTCACTTGGTGCCTTTGCTTCCATTTCCCATTTGTGAAACAAAGACTACACAATTCCAGGCCCTGAGCCAAATTCAGAAGTGATAAATGGTGCAGATCAGACTTGGATTTGCTGAGATGTACTACAACCATCCTACCACTGTCTAAGCAAATCTTGTTTGGTTTAATATATGTGCTGCAGAGCTCTGAAGAGAGATGTAAATTAGATTAATCCCCTGCCCACTTTGTACAGGTGCATTTGCAGAGCACTTAAGGCAAGGGTGAGCAAAATATGGCCCATAAGCTGGATCTGGCCCATGGAGGGACTTTGTCCAGCCAGTAGTGGGTTCCTCAGTCCTGCCTGGCCCAGGTGCCATCTAGCCCATGGGCATGCCCATGCTGCCCATGACAGGAGCCAGTGGATGGACAGAAGCTGCTGCTGGGTTTGGGGGAAAAGTGACTGCCTCCCTTTCGTTGCTGCTGGGCCCTTCTTGCTGCAGCCACCCAGAGTCCACACCCAGGATCCCCTGCAGCTTCTCTCTGCTGCTGTCACCACCGTCTCCAGGCTGCCCAGAAGGGCAGTGGTTGCAGTAGAGAGAAGCCGGAGGGCAGCCTGGGTGTGGGCTCCAAGCCCCTGCAGCAAGAAGGGCCCGGCAGCAGTGAGGGGGTGGTGGCTGCTCTTCCTCTGCTCCCAGCAGCAGCTTCTGTTCAGCCACCACCACTGCTGCCAATGCTCAGTGGGCGGGCGGTCCAGAGTGCAGGCTCCAAGCTGTTGCTGGGTAGCAGGGGGTGCTGACCAGTCCACGACATCTCCACAGAACTGGTATGTGGCCTGTGGGCCCAAATAATTGCCCAACCCCCTGAGTTAAGGCATGGTACTGTGGATCCAAAGGCAAAAGTTCAGTTTTGCTCTGGATCCACGTTGGATTTGGACCTGCAGTCAGCTCAGCTGTAAATAGGTCCCTGGACATAGTTCTATCCCACCTCACTCCTTCCTGTACTACTGGCCATAGAAACTGGTGTGCCTTAACAATGTTAGCCTGATGAATGATCTAATTTAGTAAACCGTCTTGCAATTTTTGCTTATAAGGCGATTAGAGTTAAATATCCTTTATTACTGATATGAGTGATACATTTTAACATTAGATTTGATTTTATTGTCTCAATTGTGGATCTATGTACAACAATATTATAGATTCATATCTTGATTTACTATTATATTAATAATGTTTTTAAGTTGGTGGGCTCTATTTGTAGTTCAGTTACTTTGTTTCAACTTATTTATATTATGGTCGTATGTGTGTTATGTTGTTTTCGGGAGCATGGCATTTAGCCAGAATCCTTAATAAATTGAATTGACTTGAACTGATGAATGATTTGATCTCAGGAGGACCTTTGAACTCAATGCAACTTACTTCAGTAAAACCTTCCAACTCTTTGATGTGTTAGTTAGACTTACCTCCAAATAGATCAAGCCAGCCCTGGGCATCCAGGTACTCAGACTCAAGAAAGCACTTAAGCCTATGCCTAAATCCATTTCTGTTCAGCAGGGTGCATAGGACAGTTTCATACTAGTCAGTAGAAATTACTTGCAGCGAGTACTGTGGTTGTTGGCAGGGTAGCCACTGACAGAGAATATGGCTGTAGAAAGTGTGGTTTAGTGTACAGTAATTCCTGACACTACAAGAAAGAACCCATACAGTATTCATATTATTCCTTTTTTTAACTAAAACCCCAAGTGCAGGTTAAATGAAAGCGCCAACTCAAGGCTACCTCTGTAGTGGCCCACAAAGCCGCTAGATCTGACTTGCAGAGCACTCATACTGAGGTTGGGCACCAAGGAGCTGCATTGGGGCCAGGCTGCTGGAAGCCATATCCATGCCATAGCCAGGAGACCAGGGAGGGAGGTGGGGGTGAAGTAGTGGCAATGCAGACACAGCTTCTGGCTGTCTGATCCTAGCTCAGTTCTCTGCTAGGTGGAAGCTGCACTTGAGCTGCAGCTGGGCAGTGAGGGGCTGGGAGAAGCAGTGGTGGCATGGCCTCAGCAGGGGTGATAGACAAAGTCCCTTGCTACTGACACCCTGCTGAAGCCACCCGTCCCACAGACTGCAGCTGCCAGCCACTGCTTCTATAACAATATTGGGCTCAAAGGCTTGGATTAGGCCCGTGATTCCCAGTAATCTGTGCTGCTTTTTGTCTGGTCTTCCCATCGGCTTATTTCCTTTCTCCTAGTTGACCTGGAGCAGGTATTCGAGTTGGATTCCCTGGAGTACCTGGAGGCATTGGAGTGTGTGACTGAGCGTCTGGAAAACCGTGTGAACTTCTGCAAGGCCCACCTCATGATGATCACCTGCTTTGACATCACTTCCAGGCGCCGATAAAGAACAAACCTCAAGAGAATTTCAAACCGCCCCAGTCCCCTTCCCGCTCCTACTGAACAGCGTCCCAAAGACAACAAAATGAGGATGAAGGTTGGTGTCAAGTCTCAACTGTGTGCGTGAGAGAAGAGATTTTCTTTATTATACCGAAGAACAATTAATAAAATACACAATGAATGCAAAAAACAAAAAAGAAAGATGTAAGGATGTCGAATCTCCTAGCCTGAAAGAGCACTTTGAGGAACCTCTGAGGACACGTTTGTATATAAGAACTGCTAGTAGAAAAGACTCTTCCCCTACGTTAGCCGAGGAAGCAGGAGGGGTGGTTATAGGGCCATGGCAGAGAGCTTCGTAAAAAAGAAATTACACAGAAAGACTGTTTAAGTGCCTTGCAAATCTTTATTATCCAAACATTTATGTTCATACTTTCTTGTGTACAGATGGTGCTAGTCAATAAAAGAAAAAGGAAAAAACAGAAAAACAAAAAAGCAAAACAAAAAAACAAACACATTTTGAAATGTATTTACAGCTTGTTTTTCTCTTGGTGTTTTCTCCTATTTCGGATTTGCTGTTTCTAAGTAACTTGTGTTTGTAGAACTATTTCCTAACCAGTGCAACATATGAATAAATGTTAACTGTCTTTTATTGTTACCAGAGTAAGGCCACTCAAAGAGAAAGTTAACTTTCCTAGATGGTTCTGAAATTGTTTCCAGCAGTGAGCAAGGTTATATGACCTATTCTTTGCTCCTAAAATGCTTTCATCTGTCCAAGGACACAGTAATATTCACAATCTGCATATTTTGTAGTACAATGGAAGAGGACAAAGAAAACTACTGCGAATATCTTTTATGTTTGATCTCACCTTACCATTTGTTCTCCTTTTTGATGTATTTTTAGCTTGATACTAGTGATGCCAGAGTCATGCTTAAAGAAATGCTTTCATCCCAAGCCTGTATTTTCAGTTGCTGATAATTTTCTAGGAAACTACCTTTTGAGCTGAATGGATACATGCTTATTGTTCCAAAAAGGTGTGATTTGTTTTATAAGGAGGGAACAGAACATCTAGTAGAGTTTAATTTGGTCATTTCTTGAGTGATCCCACTTACACATTTTTCACCTATTTTGTGTGTATGTGTGTGTATGCGCGTGCACACGTCTCTCTAAAATATTTCATAGATGTGGTGACATCTGACAAGTGTGTGTTCTGCTCAGTTTTAGTTGGTCAAGAAATAAACAAGAGTTATAGATGAGTGGACACAGCGCTTGGACTATGTGGAGCACGTCATTCTGTTGAAGTCCAATTGAAATCCCCTTAAAGTCAATGGCAAAACTCTCACTCACATCAACAGAACTAATATTCAGGCCTCAGTGCCCATCAGATATGATCACCTGGTTATTCATGTACCTGGATAGCTGTATAGGGAAAGAAATGTCCTTATATAGTTTTCAATGAACATGCAAATATTTACATTTCATTTCATAGCACTGAGTTTTTTCCAGTGGCTCACGTTGCTTTTGCAGTAAGTATAAGTACTGCTCCCAGTTTCAGCACCGAAGTCGTTTTGCAGCGTAACTGTCAGCATGAAAATGAGAACAGAATTCAACATGTTTATTTCAGTATGCGTCTACCTACTGTTTTTAAATTCAATTCCTGCCCCCCCTGCAATATTAATGCACCATTATTGTGCCCTTACCAGCAATCCCTTATGGAAAAGTTCTATAAAAATGTAGTAAGATTTATAGAAATTACTTTGAATCAAATGGGAAATCACTCTTTTATAGGTTTGCATTATAATATCCACTAGAATTTCACACAGAATTGTACTGTTTCTACAGACACGAGGACACTATAGAATTCTGTATCGGTGATGCCATTTGCCTTTAAATCCTGTTGGATCAACGGAAGAAAACCTGTAGGAAAGTGATTTTTATTCAATTCCATAATATTTTTTTCTATGAGGGAAACTCGCTTGCATTCTATAGAGAGCATATAAGAGATATATTATATCTGAAACACATACTAAGGTAGAAAAATACTACTGTATAACAGACAGTAGAGTAACATGGGGTAGGTGAGTAAGGCATGTGTCCTGGGCCCTGTTTAAGGGGAGGGATACCAGGACTCTGGGAGGGGGGTGGAACAGCCTCTGGGGCTTGCCTCCAAGATGCACGCTGCTGGCACAGGTGATGGGCATAGCCGAGTGCAAGGCATTCTGAGAATTGTGGTTTTGCAGAGAGCACATCCTTGTAATTCGAGTGCAGTTTGCTGCAGCTGCTGGGGGTGGGGTAGACATGACCCCCATTTTTTTTGCCAATGAATTCAGCATTTCTTTTGCCCTCTGGACATGGGCTTTTGCAACAAAAAATGGGGTGAAATCCCCACCCCCCACCCAGCAACAGCAAACCCTGCTGCCACTGTAGGGAACTACAGTTCCCAGAATGCCATGCACTGTTTACTGCTGTTCCTAAATTTGCAAGTGAGAAGCTAGGCTGAGAGGAGGCAGGGGAGGGGTTGGAGACAGCTGCCCATGGTGTATTTTTTTTCCATGTTATACCTCTATGGGCAGACTCCATATCTGATGACACGAGGGGTAACATTCCTTTAGACCTCATACGTGTAGGTCATCTAGATGTTCATTCTTCAGTGAACTGCACTCCAAGGGACCTCTACCGAGAGGTCCTGCATGTGAAGGACTTCTACTGAGAGATCTACTCGAAATTAGTAGATCTCTGTGTGACCACAGGAGGTGCCCAAGCAGAGTTTTTTTACAGGATAAAGGCCAGAGGTTGAAAGCTCTTTGGCACTCATGTTTCTGACTTTTAGGGATTGATTCTGCATGGATATAGAGAGGATGGATACAGGAGCAAGCCTTTTGTTTGCAAAAAGCTTTATAAGACCTTATGGCACTAGGCAACTACCTAATAAAATGATGGTAACAAAATCTACATATGCATATGTTGGCCAAGTTGCAACTATTCTAGGCTTCACAAACTGGAAATTCCCATCTTGTGTGCATGTGAAATGCCAGCTATACCATTATGTTATAGTTCCCTTTATACATATCTCTAGACTTTATCAGCACTAGAGCAGGGGCCCAGGGAGATGCACAATGTGTTCCTGAACCAAAAACAAGTTGCATGACATTGGTACGTTATGTATGTATGTGCTAGTACTTAGTATAGCGAGATTATAAATGACAAGAAAAATATTAAAATCAAGCAAGTACTTGATGCAGGCAAAATTAAATGCTAGCAAAGAGAGAGCGCAAAGAAGATGTTCTTATTACCAGATACTTGACTTAGCTGAACGGATGGTACTGTTCTTATGGCCTTGGTCCCAAAATCTCACCCATTTTACAGATCACTTACATGGTTTTAATTTTGCTTCTGTAAATCCTTTTTCTTTAGCTGTTAGCTTGGTAGAATTGATTTCAGAGTTATAGTGCAGTACTTGTTACATGTACATGTGCTGTTACATATAATATTTAGACCCATTGGTCATGATGGCTACCATTTGATTGTTATGTGTTGTGATATTACTTTTAAAGATTACAAGGCATAACAAATAAGCCTGCCATCTATCTAGCAGTAATTTTAAATGATATACGAAGTACTGGTCTTGTTAATCATTCAGGACTAAATTTGATCCCTGAAATCAACAAAGTATATGCCAAGAATGAATTTGGTCCATAGGGGTTTTATTTGCTGAGCAGAAGCACAGTGCTTACAAATATTTTATTTCTGACATAAGTGGCACTAAATAACCATTATTAGTTCTATCAGAAATCCATATTGCGTGCTAAAACAGTTTTTTCTTTGTGCACATTTTAATACCTGACAATATTTTTGAGAGAAGTTGTAATACATACACAGCAATGACAATCTGCTAAGATTTGCCATCTGAATCTATGGAGCTTTTGCCTGAGTGAGTACGGCTTTTATTTTGGAATTTATTAGCCTCCGTTATATATTTCAAGCATCATTGTAAATACAAAATGGAACATTTGGAAATGTCTCTGACCTTACTGAGCTGCCTTCACTCTTGGTGGGCCATGTTTTAAGGAAAACCTATTAAAAAAAAAAACACCTTTCAAGTCCAACACGTTCAGCAGGTGGCAATATGGATGCTAGTCTTACGCTGCATTTCAAAGCCCACGAAATGCTTATCCAAATATGTAAACACAACTTGATGGAATGCTTAATTATTTGCAGATTCAAAAATTGCAAGTTCTCTATGGTCAGGCTTCTAGCAAAAGATTAAAAGAGACATCAGTGTATTGGCTTGCATTTTGGGTCTAATTCTGACATCATTTATGCTCGTGTAACTTCAGTATTTATATTGAGGTGTGTAAGCGCCGAACTTATTTGTCAAAAATGAATTCAAATCAAACCCAGAGCTGAGAACCTGTGGCGCTGGGCAGAGCTTGGAGCCGAGCTGAATCGAGCAGTGTTGGGCAACACTTCAAGATTGGTTCCTACTGCAGGAGAACTCTGGGAAAGTTTTTGTATCCAGTGCTTCAGCTACTGAAAAGCACAGCCATGGTTATGGAAACCCGTAGCTCCTTGTGGATTTTCTCATACCCATCTCTTTCTTTTGTCAGCATGTTTAAGCCTGTTACTAACCTTGGAGTTATTTCGGACCAATGCTATTACTTGTAAGCAACCAAAGGGATTACTTGGACAAAATGCAAGCAAAAAAGTGATGTTAGTATGCTCCCTCCCTGAAGCAGCATTTGCCAGTTATACTGAGCCTAATTTTTCCCTCACCAACTCTACTGAAGTCTGTGAAGTTAGAGCTATATTAAACAAAACTGTAGGGGAAAAAAGAATCAGTCACCTTGTAATTTGAGTGCTTGCTAAGCTGTACTAGTGTTCTCCTTTTCTCTCCTCGTGCTGTGGCTTGTTTCTGCCAGGACTGTATACGCAGAATTACTCTAAAAATATGGCAGTACTGGACCCATAAACCTGGAACCCTCTGCCCATCACATAATGCAATTTCTCTAATTGGCATGCTGTAGAAATAGCAAACCATGAATGTGTGTACAAGGCTTGGACTACATGACCCTTGAGGTCCCTTCCATTCTTATGTTTCCAACTTGATGCTGAATGATACTATGGCAATATCCTGTCATCTGACCATGTCCAAACTAAGTGCAAGGTATATAAACAGCACATAAAAGCATAAAAGGTACATAAGAGGTTCTTCTTTTTGTCTCTGTGTCTGGGAATTATAGATGTGAAGGCTAGCAGCAAGGCTGAGAATTACAAAAAGCCCCCAAATATGCAAGGAACAATAGACTTCTCAGTCTTTTTTTTTAATGGTTCCTCCATTAGCTCAATAACATAGTTTGTTCTAAATCAGTAGCTATAACCATAAACCCAGGGTCTGAATTATGTGACAGGTACAAGATAGGGACTACTCTGCAAGTGTTTCTGGTTTGGCTTTTTTTTCCTGAGTTAAAAGCACTAACAGTATAGCTGTGTATGTACAGAGAGGCATGCATCTCTTTTCAGAGCGTGCGCACGCGCGCGCACACACTCACACTCACACGCTCTCGCTCTCGCTCTCTCTCACTCTCACTCTCACTCGCTCTCTCTCCAGCAGTGAACAATACTATAAAGGTTTTATTGGTATGGGTTTGGGATGGCCAGGTAAGTCGCAAATAGCAAGGGTTTAAGTTATGCCATTCACCCTATAGGAATACCAATAAAACATTTATATTGCTATACTTCGGCATGCAGCTGATGTATGCCAGGCTTCATAAAAAAACCTGTATCTGAAACATTTTTAGAGGGGTTTTATATTTTTCTCCCTAGTCTTCAGCCTGTGAATCCAGGTTCTCTTAATTCCCATATATAGGCTTGAGTGTGACAAAATTTAAAACCTATAAAAAATGATCCAAAATAGCTTCCCTGTATGTCAAGCTGTCATGGATTTAAGGGCAGATATCTTATACCCACCAGCGTTAAATACAATGTTGTCTGTATCAATTGAAAGCCTGGAATTTTAGCTCACCAATAAGATAATGTGCGTTTGTCAAGCCTTGATGATTTGTAAACCAGTAACCTGAAGCCTGACTTTTAGAGGACTACATCTAGCCAGCGTAAGTCCTTTAAATCAGTGGTTTATTAGATCTGCAGTTGGAGGGCAGGATGATGGGGTTTGGGTGGCTTTGGGAGCTGGTAAGCAGTTTGGGATTTTAGAAGCAGTTCTTATTGGTAGGCAAAGTGCTGGCAAATACAGGGGAGACCAAATAATATGAAATGTGCAGTTTATTGTATAATTGCCTCAGCTAGCACATAGCTGCAGAAGTCAAAGAGTCCATACCATATGGGAGTAGGGCAAATAGACCTAAACAGATCCCTTGTTTCACAAGTCAGTTGATAGCTTGCATATTTTATTTCTTACTGACCCCATCCAATTTCTGCAGCCTTAAATAAAGGCACAAATTTAGGGAGAAACTATCTTGTCCCTATTAAATCCTTGAAAGTTTTGTCATTGACTTTAGTAGAAGTGGTACAAGTCAATTGGATTTGTTATTTTGGTCTTGTTGCTAGTGCAAAAGGTATCAAGTAATACTCAGCAATTACCAGAGATCCATGGCTGGTTGGTGCTAGCTGTTTGAAATAAGTTTCCAAACAATCCTAACCAAGTTATGAAAGACTTGTCAACTCCCTGTTCATGATCCCTGTTTGTTGCACTTCCAGGGCCCTCATCACAGAAGGATGATCAGGTGAGGTGATATATCTAGGTATATCTAGATATATCTCTATATAGATATTTAAGCAGGAGGCAAATATGGGATGATAGTATAAATGAAGGGCTGAAAGTTAAATAGTTAATATGGGTGATAATCTTTGCAGCTAACTTCAAAACATTCTTAGGGGGAAAAATCTGACTTTGAGTGGTCCTACTCAAATACTGCGCATACTTGTTAATAATGGTAATGAAATGGTGCTCGAAGCAGTTTCAGCTATATCTATATTACATATACTCTATATTATAGATATGGATGTATTCACCTTATATATTGTATATGTGCGTGTGAGAATTTACATATACAATACACACACATACACATATATATTTTATGTATACATAGATATTAACTTTTCTAATTTTTACTTCCTTCCCTTCCTGATGGGAAGCTGAAACTGCTGGTAACTAACATCCACATCATATTCTATGTATGAAGGATATAATTTATTTGTAAACTCAGGATGTTATTGTTTTATAGAGTTGCTTGTATTTTATAATTTATTTACACATCATAGTTGGAAATGCTTATCTAAGTGCTATGCATTGAAGTGTAGATTTGCTGAATCCATTTCATTCTGTCTGTGGCTATGTTCTTTCTCATAGTAACCGTGTTATAAAATTGGGGTGGGGAGTGGACAAGCCAATGGATAAAGAGCTTATGGGATAAGTGGGATATTCCAGAAGGAGATGGATTAGTAGCAGATATATATTTTATCAGCTAAATTTTATTAGAATGGAAAGATGGAACAGATAGCATGAGGACAAGTAAAAAATATGGAAAGTCGCAGACACTTGCAAGCTGGTCAGATGACTATGTGGAGCCTTTTGCCATTAAAAAATGTAAAGTTTATTGTTTGCTGGCTAAAATCTCTTACCTTTTGTGGTATATGAGGTGTGAAACATATTGTCAAAAATATGATGTTTGAAAAAAATCAAAATATAGTGGCATTAAATGTTTACTTTTATCTTACTGGTATTTATGCTTCTCAGCCCTGACTATTTTGTTTGGAACAAAAGTTTTCTTCATGGCATAGGGATGGGGTGG